TGTGAAGCGCTTGGAGCGCCTGGGATGAGGGAAGAGCCACAGGGCGCCTGCTCCACAGGTTGGCCCGTTTCATGCTGGGGAAGCAGAGCCCCCGCACCCCCTCCCTCTCCCGCACCCCAGGCTCGCGCAGAGCCCGGGGCGACGAAGCCCGAACTACAACTCCCGGCATGCCGCGCGGCCCGCCGAGCCTGGGCTGGGGGATGCTCGCGAGTGGAAGCCCGAACTACAACTCCCGGCATGCCGCGCGGCCGGTCAGCGGCCGAGGTCCGGGCAGGGCGCCTCGCTGACCCGCAGCTCCGGGTCGTGCCCGGGGGCGGGGGGCGGGGGCCGGGGTGGGGGGCCGGGCGCTGACCCCCCTATACTCGCAGACTGGCCCAGGGGCAGCGGTCTGGGGGCGGGGTCGGGGGGCGCGCGGGGGTCCGGCGCGCGTGTGGACCCGCGCGGCCACGGGGTGACCCGGCCCGGGCCGGCTGGGCGCGCCACGGCCGAGGCGGTCGTGAGGAGCAGCCGTGGCGAGGGCCGAGCGGGGCTGGAGGCCGGGAGGGGGTCGCGGGGGCGCCGGGGGCGCTGTCCGTGGTGCTGGGGGGGCGGGCGGGGCCCCGGGCGGTGGCCGAGGCGCGCTGCGCGGTCCCGGCCGCTCGGCCCGCCCCAGCGCCCGAGGGGCTCTGCGAATGCAGGTTCTCGGGCCCAGAGCAGAGTCCGCATCTCAGCGGTCAGGTGGCGGCCGTGCGCACCCAAGGGTCGCCCGACGGCCCAACGCGACGGGCGCTCCTCCGAGCCAGAGCGCGCCCCTGGCAGGCCCAGCAGGCGCTCAGGTCGCCGGCCTAGCGCATGGCAGAGTCAGGGCTCAAGCCAGGCCTCTGCACTGTCCTGCGGCCATCGTCCTGCCCCGCCTGACCCGTGAGGAATAGCAGAAACGAATCTAGAAAGGGGGGGCCGCCTTCCCAGGACCGGGTTCTAAAACCTGGGGAGCGTCTCCGAAGCTCGGTGATGCCCTCGCCCTGGTTGAGGGCTGCCTCCACGGCGAACCAGCCGTGCCAGGCGCAAGCCACAGGGCCACCACGTGAGTGCCGAGGGCTGTCGGGGTCAGGTGACTGGCGGGCTGATCAGGGTCCAGCAGACGCCCACGTTGCCCGGAACTTCAGATGCCGAGCCCAGTGCTCAGCAGGCGCCCTGGGTGTAAACAAGCCGAGCCTCTGGGTGGGGGAGGTGCTGGCCAGGCGCCTTGGAACCCTGGGGTGGGGGTGACTGACAGGGAAGGCGACTTCCTAAAGATTGAGTGGAGACCCCTGGGCAGGGAAGGGAGACCCCTGGGCAGGGTTAGGGCAACTGCATATGCAATCAGCGCTGAGGAGGAGTCCAGGATACAGGCGGGGGTGGGGGGACTGGAGTGTAGGGTGCAGAGGGGCACCCCTGTTCCCGGAGGGGTCAGAGGTCAGATCCCACCAGCCTTGAATGTCATGCTAAAGGCTTTGGATTTGATGCCACGGGCCACAGGGAGCCACAGCAGCTTTAAAGCAGGGGCCAGAGCCCCACAGCTCCCCCAGCCCTCCCCCCCAAGTCTCCTGTCCTTCCTTTCCGTGAGAGGAAGTCAGCAGAGAAACCGCAGGGCCCCACCTGCAGGGGGACTGATGGGAAAGGAAGTGAGACAGGTGTGAGGTCTGGGTGGGACAGAGGGTTCAAACCACAGAGCTTCAATGTGGCCCAGGAGGAGGTGGGGTGCAGAGGGTTGAATGAGGGACCTCTGGACCCACATATGCGGTCACCGAGACCACAGACTGCAGCTGGCAGACGGGGCTCCCGTCCCGCTCCGACACTCACTGCAACCCCGGGCGGGGGCTCGGGCTCGAGTATCCAGGGAGAGCCCGTGTGGAAAGGCGCCTCGGCCCCCGCCCCCTCGGAGCTGCAGGGGCGGACGAGGGGCTGCCGGGGCGGGGCGGACTTCGCCTGCGCCCACCAGCACCTCGGCAGCCTCACCAAGGCAGTGAGCGCGGGGACTTCATCCAGATCCTCTGCACGAGTCTCCCCTCTCTGCTGGGGGCTGTGACTTCCGTGGACATCAGTGGAGCCCCAGACCCTCCCCTGGCCGGAAACGAGGGAGTGAGCAGCACATTCCAGTTCCCTCCCCGAGGGCGGCCTCCTCCCTGCACGCTCCACACCTCACCCCCATCTCTGGGTTCTGCAGCCGCCCCCCCTCCAGCTGGGGGTCCTGCACTGTCCTCGTCCCCCACACACTGCCACACCTCCGCAGCGCCCCTTTCCTGAACTCTGCGTCCTGGTGTGCCCATCCCTGCCTGCCAGACAGGTGCATGCCCTGGGCTGCTTGTCCCCCAAGGGGCAGCACCGAGGTCACGACCTCAGGCAGAAGATGCTCTGCAGAAACCACGGGGCACGGGGATGGCTGTGCCAGGCCTGGTGAGGCACAGGTTTGCTGTCCTAGACCTGGCTTGCGAGCGGGAGGGTTTCCCAACCCGTGGCAGTAAGGCGTCTTGAAGGGGCTGGGGCAGACGGGTGCAATGGACTTGGTGCCAACACTGCCCCCTCCCCCACCTGTCTCTGATGTGTCACTGCCAGGGCTCCCAGCTCCCTGAGGCAGGGGCCCCCTCCATGTCTACGAGCAGGGCAGGGCAGCCCAGGTAAGGACCCACATCCGCACGTGGGCCCTGGGCGTCCTCTGGCCAGCACAGGGCTCTGCTCGCCTAGTGGAAGCCAGCCTCCCAGTGCCAGGAGGGGCCTGCAGGGACCGCGGGGTGGTGGCCTCCCCAGGAAGGTAGGGCCAGTCCCCAGGTTGACCACCTGGGGGCAGCTGCAGCCTCCTGGACACTGGGCCCTGCTCAGCGCCCTGCTGCCCCCTTGTGGGCACCCGGAGCACTTCCCGAATTCGGGGCGCTGTCCTTTCCACCCCGCCCTCAGCAGGGATAGCTGCTCGGTCCACAGCGTGAGCTCCAAGGCCCAGAGCTGGGGAGGAGCAGACGGAGCAGGTACTGCTGAACTCTGGACCTGATCCTTCACCCCATGATACCTGCAGAGCCCAGGGGTGCAATCGCAACCCCTCCCAGGCCTGCCCACAGCACCCTGGACCTCTGCGAGCTGGAGGAGACTGTCACACGGAGCCTTGGGCACCCCTAGGACCTGGTCTTCAAGCTCAGCTGCCTGAAGAACACCCATAGAAGTTGGGGGGTCGGATCCTCCCATCAACCACCCTCACCAGGTAGGCTGACCCCCGCCATGAACCAGCTTCCTACCCCCTTGAGCCCCGCCCTGGGGTTTAGTCCCCTCTGACACACTGTGGGTGCCCATCAATGGCTAGGGCCGCTTTAGGGGCTGCACAAGGTTAGTTGGGCATCCCCAAAGCTGCTTCCCAAGAGCAGAGATACCCACACCCACCAAGAGAGCCAAGCCCCAGCTTCCTCCCGGCACCTGCAGAGGGGTGGGGTTGAGTCCCACGCCCCAGACCAGGCAGCCACTGCCCCTGGACCTTTAACACCTCCCCAGTGAGCCACACCAGCCCTTCCCCATCCTCCAACCTTCTCCCCAACAGTCGCACATGGGGGTGGGGAGGGCAGGCAGGGACTCCTTTTCCTCCCAGGGTCTGGGTGCCCCAGTGGGGGGCCCAAGGACTTCATCCAAGAAGCCTGGCATCTCCGGGAAGCCCGGGGCGGGGCGGGTGCCCGGCAAGGTGCTGGCCGCACCTGCCCTGGTGGAACCAGCCAATGCCCAGGAGGCGCTGCCGGGGGGCCATCGGAACGCCTAGATTGGCCAAAGGTGCCTGGACCAGAACCCCCCACGTCCCTCCCGGAGCTGCTGGTCCACTGCTGCCTCCCTCCCTCTCTGGGCCTCCCAAAGAGCCCAGCGTCCCTGGGGGAAGCCCTGGGCTGTGTCGTGGGGATCGGTCCTGAGTGCCATGCTGGCTGGGACAGGTGCGCCAGCCAGGACCGCAGGGATAACAGCCAGCCTGGGGCGCTTGGTGGCTGGCTGGCTGGGACAGTAGCACCAAAAGACCAGGGAACCCAGGATGACTCCCGCTGACCTTGGCACATCCCCCAGGCGCAACGTGCCGGGACAGCAGCGTGGGCAGAGCTGGGCCCAGCGCCCAGCAAAGCCTCATGGGGCTCTGCCGCTGTCACTGTCAGTCCAGGGCCGGAGTCAGGGCCCCTCCTCAGCCCGGCCAACCCCCTGCCTGCCCTCGCTCCTCCCACCAGCAGTCTGGAACAAGGCAGAGGGCAGGGAAGAGCCGTCCCCCACTGCCCATCTCCCCCTCCCAGACCTGGGCCTCACCCCTGGGGCCCCTCCTGCCCCGGCGGGGTGTGTGTGGGGGAATGACAGCCAGAACTCCGGCCTGCCCTGGAAAGGCCCCACGTTGCCGTCACAGGGCATCCCCCGCTGGGCCCAGGAGGAAGCAGGGACAGGCGGCAGGACACGCAGCGCCCTATTCTCCCGGCCTGCGGCTCCCATGGCCCCAAGCGCACCCCTCAAGAAGTGTGGTGCTCTCCGTGCAGGGGCTCCCCCCGCGGGAGGACCAGCCCGCAGGCCGAGGGCCCACGGGGCACGGCGGGTATTTAAAGCCCTGCAGCGGGGGCCGCAGTTTGAAATGAAATGGCTTTATTTTTCAGGACCAACCAACAGGACTGCAGAGTTCCCGCCAGAGCCGGGGCAGGCCCCGCAGCGCTGCCGCGCCCGAGGGGTGCGGGCGCCCCATCCATCACCCCATAGCACCCGGCTCTGGGAGTGGGGAACGGGCTGCGGTGGGGAGAGGGCCTGGGCCTCCGGGGCTGGTGTCTCCTGCGGCCTGGCTTTGTCCCCCAACCCCAAAGCAGCTCACGCTGCTCCCCGACGACCAGGACCGGCTTGGGGCTCCCCTGCCAGCGCGGCCTCGGCTGCTCTATGGAGCAATCAACAGCGCGAGCGGAGACCTCGCAGAACCTCAGGGCCCAGGGCTGCCCTCCCCGCTGCACACAGAGCCGCGCCGCCAGGTACGGAGGGGGTGGGGTGGGGCGCGCGCGGGCAGGCGCCCCGGGACCAGAGGGTCGGGCCGCTGTCGTTGCACGACCACCCAGACGCTGCCCAGGCCCGCTGCGCTGAAGCTCGAACATCTCGTCAGACGACAAACAACATAAACAAGTTATCTACTTTTTAAAAGTTTCCCAAAAAGGTCTCCGGAGACCAGGACAGAGGCTGGCGGGCACCGGGCGCGACACATCACCTCCCGGGGCCTCTCCCGCCACCCGCGGGCGAGGCTCACCCGGCAGATGGCGAGCCGACCGCATGCTCTAGGCGAGGACGGGCACCGCGAGGCCCCTGGCGGCAGGCGGGCAGGCAGGCAGAGAAGCGCGCTCGGCCGGCCGCGGGTGGAAAGGGCCCTCACTGCAGCCAGGGCTTCGGCCTCCGGTACCTCGCCCCCCAACGTGGGGCTGGCAGGAGGAAGAAACAGGCGCGGGAACCCCTGGCCTCGCCGCGCCTGCAGAGGTCGGGCAGGGACGTGACCCCCCAGCAGCCGCTTCGGAGTAGAGGGAGGCTAGCGCGTTGCACGGAGGGGCCGCCAAAGGCAGCAGGCGAGGTGGCCAGGAGGTGCGCGCCACACTGGCAGGCCCACGCGCACTGCGGTGCGACTGAAAATGGCCCCCACAATTGTCTGCCCCCCCCACCCCTCTCAGGCTGGACGAGGCTGGTGGAAGGGCCTCCCTCGCATGCGCCCGGAGTGGCCGCTGCCCCTGCAGCACAGCAGGCCTCAGGCTGCCTCTGGAGCCACTTCCAAGACAAAACAAAGTTTAAAGCCAGTTTCACGAAGCACAGTTCTCCTCTGCAAGGCGCTGTGGGGCCCCAGGACCGGTGGTGACACGGGGTGCGCCTTGGGGACCCGCCCACGGGGCCGGGAACCGCCGCGCGTCACTCCCCGGAGGCCAGCTTCTCGATGGCGGCGCGCACTTTCTTGGCGTCTTCTTTAAACTCCCTCTGCTTGCTGGTGGTTTCCTTCGCCTGGAAATGAAGCGCAGCGCGTGAACAGGAGCAAGGGCGCTGTCACTCGGGGGAGGGGTAAAAACAAGAAAGGGAACGTTTGCTGGGGACCCCTGGGGAGGCGCTGGGCTCTGTGGGCAAGTGCCCATTCGCGCCACCGCCCCCCACACTCACGAGAGGGTGACGCCGCTCGGCCTGCGCCACTCACACTGGCCAGGCGACCGCTCGGGGCCCGGGGGTGGGCGCGGCCGTCGCCCCGGAACGGACAGGAAGCTGAGGTCCAGAGCCAGGACCCAGCTCAGGGTCACCAGCTAGTCCACATGTGGGGGGAAAGGCTGCCCTGAGCAAACCCCATGCAGGCTCTGTGGACGCCACCCCCCCTCTATCAAGACACGGGACAGGCTCCCTGCAGGCTCTGTGGACGCCACCCCGACTCTGGGAACTACAGATCCCATGACTGGGAGGTTGTGAGGCCCTGAGGGCGGAGCTAAGCAGCATTTTCTCTGTGTGTAAATAAAACCAGCCACGCTGGGGGGTCTCGGGCACTTGGCTCTGCTCTTGGCCAGGCCGGCTTGGTCTCCCGGGTCCCTGGGGAGTCCAGGTGGGCGGAAGGGGTAGGAGGCATTGAAGACTTTATCTCCCTCTTTTCTCCCTGAGGCTACATTTCCTCCTTCCCTTCCCTTGCCAATAAACCTTTGTTAACCTTTGGTGTGGGCCTGCGGGTGTGAGCCTGCGGGTGTGAGTCCCTTCCCAGCGGGTGAGGACCCACCGTCAGGCAACCCGTTTTATATCGGGGTTGCCCTGTAACACACACACACACACACACACACACCCCTGCTTGTCCCCCCGCCCGCCCCCACTTCTGAAGCTCCTGTGGGGAAAGTCCCCTCCTCATGCCCAATTAAAAAGAGCCGCTTTTTCCTGAAACAGAAAACTCTCCAGCCTCCAGGTGCTCCTGTCAGAGGGAAGGGCTGTCCCGAGCACACTCCATACAGGCTTTGTGGAGTTCCACCCCCCCACTCTATCAAGACACGGCAACTGGGCCTCCCGGTGGCGCAGCGGTTGAGTGCTGGGTTGCGAAGCTGCCCGCGGCCTCTGCGGCGCCGGTTCCATCCCCGGCTGCTCCCCGGCCACCGGAGGAGGGTCCCGCATGGCGCGCAGACCTCTCCTGCCGCCCGCTGCTCCCCTCAGCAGTGTCCTTCGGTCCTTCTGCCTGCTCTGCTCCCTGCTCTGGCTCTGGTGAATTCTCTCACCCTCCCGCGCTTCTGACTGTACCCAGTGCGCGCATAAATAAATAAATAAATCTTAAAAAAAAAAAAAAAAAAAAAAAAAAAGAAAGAAAGACACGGAACTACAAACCCCATGATCACCGAAGGGAAGGTTGCGAGGACCTGAGGGCGGACTTCAGCAACTAGGGTCAAGGTTTGAAGATTTAACCGGCCGTGTGGCTGGGGGTCTCTCTCTTGGCCACGATGCGTGCTCGGTTTTTCGCCAGCTCAGCGGGTCATTGGGATTCCAGGTCAGCGGAACAGGTAGGACACATTTCCGAACTTACCTCCCTCTCTTTCTCCCTGAGTTATTCATTTCTTCCTCTCCCCTTCCCTTGTAAGTAAACCTTTTATCCACCTTTCGGGTGTCTGCAGTTTAGCATTAACAAGTCCCCTTTAAGCGCGCAGGTGGACTCACAGGCAGGCACCCCGTTTTCTCTCAGGGTTGCTGGCCCTACAACACTCCCTGCGTGTGGCAGCTGCCCCCACCCTGTGCCCGCAGAAGGACAGTCGCGTCGCTGAGCTGGGGTCCTCCTTTAATCTCCTTGATTTCTCAAACACATTGAAAAACAAAAGACTTATTGGGTTAAACTTGTCTTTCTAGCAAGACAAACAGCTTAACTCAAAAACTGACTTTTCAATACGTACAATTAGGTGTATCTTAAATTTGATCCCATTACTTTAACTACTTTAGAATTATTAATTAAAAGAAAATTTAATTTTTAAGAATTGACTTGACCAGAGTGAAACAGCCGCTGACCAGTGACAGCAGGCCTGAAGGGACACTCTGCAGCCCGGGCCGTGTCTGCACCGACACGGACAGGGACTGGGGCCTGTTATGATGCCCGCTGACTCCCCTTCTCCCCCCAAGGAAGCCTGCACCAGCAGGGACCCCCGAGAAGCGGCTCTGGCCCCCCGCCTGGAGGCCAGCACGGCCCCTGTGAGCATCCCAGCAGTAGGGATGAAGCGAGCCACAGACTTCAACACTGAAAATGCCATAAAAGCCCCGGCGCAAAACTGCGCCAGGGCTGGGGACTCAGGGCACTGTCCTCCCCGGGACACCGACCAACAGGCCAGACACATGGGAAGTCTGTTGGCTCCCAAAATGGGGGGCCGGGGGAATAAGTCCAGCTCCTGAAAGGATTTATTTTCACACTGACTCTAACACATTCCATCTTTTGTAAAGACGGGCCTCGATGCAGCAGCACAGGAGCAGGGACGGGCCTGGCCCCGGGGCTCTCCAGGTCAGCCCCCCAGCCTGCAGCGCACCCCTCAGCTCAGGGCCCTGTCAGCAAAGCAGCAGCAGTCGCACCCGACGGAGATCCGGGCCTCGGAGGCTCACAGCGTGTCAGCAGCTTCCCGGTTCACGCTACCTGCAGCCAGTTATTTCACCGACCAACTTCCACGGAACACCTGACCGTGCCAGTCCTCCACAATGCACTGCGGCCACGGAACTGACCTCATCTGTCCTTTAAAATAGCGGCTTCCAACCTTCTTTCTACAAAACAGCCCAGGCTTGCAGGCCAGCGCCCTCCAGTGCCCACCCAGGTGGCCCCAGTGTGACAGACAGGCCTCAGGCTGCGCCCGTTCTCCACACCCAGCTCCCACCCAGCCCTCACCATCCATCCCACAGGACGGGGCTCGGGGCAGGAGAGGTGGGGGCTGCGTTTCTTTTTAGAAGAATAAATTAATTTTTAAAAGATTTATTTATTTATACACACAAGAGTTGGGGTGCAGGCCAGAGGTGTGGAGGGGGTGAAAGGACTCACCAGAGACAGAGTGGGGAGCAGAAGAGACGGATCTACTGAAATACACTGCCGAGGGGAGCAGCGGGGAGACAGGAGAGGTCTGCTGCGTCCTGTGGGTAGCTCCCTGGCCGGGGATCGGCTCGTGCTGCAGTAGCTATGATTGCTTCACAGTGCTGTGCCTTAACCCCTTGCGCCACCAGGGAGGCCTCTAGTCCTGATTTCTAATATTTATTTTTAGTCTCTGTGTAAAATGTATACGCTGAAGATGCTCTGGGAGGGGACACACCAGTGAAGGGTGCAGGGGCTTATATCATTTTTGCAAATTAAAGTAATAAAAATAAAAATATAAACATTTTCTGTATTTTGATCTGGGGAGAACAAAACAGTTACAAAATGAAAGTACAACACTGTCTTCAAATCTCCCCTCCAGCCTGGCTCTTCCACAACTTGCTTTACTGACCACCAATTTCTTCCCCTTTCTGGCAAAAAGGTATGTAAGAGTATGTGAGTGTATGTAAGAGTATGTGAGAGTCACTGTGTTGGGCAGAATGATTTCCTCTCAGTCTCTAGAAAGGAAGTTTCAGCCAAACCCTTGGGCTGCAGCCGTTGAGCCGCAGCAAGGACTGTGCAGCCAAGACTGACCTGAACGGCAGGTGGGGGAGTAGCAGAGAACCAGGCTGCCCCACCCCGCCCAGAGCTCTGCCCAGAACAGTCCACAGGACAGGCCCACTCCCTGTCCCGCTGCGGGTAGGCGAGCAGACAGGTTGCCCGGCCGACCTCCAGCTTCAGGCTACGAGTCACCTCCCAGGAAGTGCCCACCCAAACAGGAGCTACACTAAGGCCACACCGCACATCTAGAATCCAGGTGGACCCAGTGTCCAGGTTTTCTCTAATTCTCCACGCTTCTACTTCCAATAGCCCAGCGCCTCCATTCAGGCAGAAACTGTAGAACCCCCCTAAGGGTTGCGCTGTCAGCTCTTGTCCCCAGTTCACGCAGTGCCCATCCCGAAACACGCCATGACCCCAAACCCTGCCGCCAGCACTGACATGAGAACGCAAGACCATGTAAAGGGCCTCCCCCGTCATCACCGAAGACAGGAGGGCAGCACAACCACGGCTGTGCAGGGCCAACCATCCCTTCCCTGCGGGGGCCTCCCATCTCTCTGCACAGACCCAAGACCCGCTCCAGGACAGAAGCTTTCCTGCCCTTCTCCATCCTCGCACACACACGGAGGGGCTTGGAAACGCTGTCTGAAGGGAACAGCGCGCCACGCGCGTGAGGCCGGGAGCTCAGTGTTCAAGGCGGGGCGGTTTGACGCTGTTCTGCCTCCCAAGCATACATACGATTTTGTTCTTGGCTCTTTCTTTGTCCAGTTTCAAAAATTCACTGAGGGTTAATTCTTCAAACTGCTTCTTGACAGAAAGGAAAGCACAGCGAGACGAATGCCTCTTATGTTCCTCTCTAGAAAAATCAACGCACGACAGTGTCAACAGAGAAAAGCCAGGTCCGGGGAAGCACTTTTCTTAACTCACGGGCCACTCCCCACCACCCACACGCAGCCTCGCTCAGCGGCAAGTGCAGGGTGTAGAGTGGACAGGATTAGCGCCGGGTCACCAGCCACACAGCTGTCCTGGCACCCTCGCTCTGTGGACGCCGCCCACCACGTGCTCGTGGCCGGTGCACGTTATCTGCGACGTCACACGGTCTAAGATGTCACGCGTCAAATCCCTCTGACACCCTGGGGAACCGTTTGAAGCAATCTCATGCCCCTGGGAGTGTCAGGTCACCCACTGGCTCGACAAAGGCGCCACCGGCCAGGTGTCTCAGTGCTCCTTGGGCCGCGTGGGGCGGAGGACAGTCACCAGTGTCCACAAAGACATTCAATAATGACACATCAGACACATAATTCACTCCACAGGTCCTACCCCCAGGATTTCCCAGTGACCGCCGGCCTGGTCACCAGACCCTCCCTGTTAAATCTGAGTAACAGCAGACACGCTAGGAAAAGCAGCAAGTCTCTGCTGGCCAGAAGAAACAACTCGGTGATTCTCTGGGGAGGGGGTTTTAGATTGTGGGGACAAACCATTATGACAGGGTCAGCGTGGCGAGGGAAAAGGGATGTCACATGACAGACAGATCCTCCGGCCTGACCAAACACACACACACGGGATCTTTTCTAATAACTAACATTTCAGAGAACAAGACCCAGAGCAACGAGCGAGTGTGCCTCTTTCAAGGGGCGTTTTGGCAGGGCTGGATCACAGCTCCACAAGGCTAGTTTTTAAACTCTCAAAGAGAAAAGCACCTGGACATCCCAGGAGGCGAGAGGCAGGCTGCTCCCGTGTCCTGAGCTCCCCGAGGGCGCCCGGCACCTACACAAATGTTCAACATCCACCCTGAAGGGTGTGTGGCCAAATCAGGTTCGACGAGCTGGACCAGCAGCGCCAAAGCGGCTGCCTGCAGGGACTCGCCCCCTGCAGCTGCTCTATCACAGGCGCCTTGGAAATGCAGGTGATTTGGGGGCGCCCTGGTCAGAAGGAAAGCTTGCACTGAGGACAGACACCCTGGGGTGCTGGGAGGCTGGCGGGGGACTTACATGGGGTCGTCGTCTGGCTCCCAGCCTTCCAGCTCCTTGAGGCAGAAGAAACACTGGGCCAAGTCGGGTTCGTTCTCCGTGGGGCAGTGGATGAAGCCGGCCGCGGCCATCTGCAAGGGAGGGACAGCTTAGGCCCCTGCGGGGAGGGCCCCGGGGCCCGGCCGGCCTGAGGGGTCGTGGCCCCTGGGCGGGGCCCCCCTGGGACGCAGGGGGCTCGGGGCGGGGCCCCCCGGGGACGCAGGGGGCTGGGGCGGGGTCCCCCGGGGACGCGGGGGGCTCGGGGCGGGGTCCCCCGGGGACGCGGGGGGCTCGGGGCGGGGTCCCCCGGGGACGCGGGGGGCTCGGGGCGGGGTCCCCCGGGGCCCGGCGCCCACGCAGGGCCGGAGCTCGGGCCGGGCGCGGGGGTCGCCCCGGGGCCCGGGAGCCCCCGTGGCCTCACCCGTTCCGGGGTGCAGGCGCAGTCCTCCAAGAAGGGCCAGTTCGTGAAGGTAGCGATGCGGTGGTGCTTGAGGTAGAGCCGCCAGGCGGGGGGCAGCGACTGGGCTCCCATCCCGCCGCCGCCGCCGGCCGCTGCCGCGATTCAAAAGCCGCGGTTGTCGCGCGGGGCTTGTCGGGAACGCCCGTCCCGGAGGCGCCGCCCGCGGCCTCATGGGAAAGCGCTGCCGGGCGGCGCGGGGCGTGCTGGGAGTTGTAGTCCTCCCGCCGCGCGGGCCCTGCTTTTCTCTGTTCCTGGGGTCCTTGGGGAGCGCTCTCCGCTCGCCCCTTCCCACACTCGGCGCTGTTCCCACTGCCTTCGAAGAGTTGAGGGACGGGGAGCTGAGCATGGACGGAAGCTCCGTGATGGGTTCAAGGAGTGGCCCCTTTCGGCGCACTTATGTATTAGGCCCTGTCAGCTTGCAAGCCCTCATTTTTGTGGACGCCCCATTCTTTGAACCCCGAAAGGGCCAGCTGCCCCTGGACCGGCCAGGTTAAAATGCTGGTCCTGGCACATCCCCCTGGAGGGCCCGCATCCGCGGGGGGGAAATGTCACAGATGAAAAACACAGCTGAGCCTCCACCCTCATCCAGAGACGCTATTGAACTTGCTTCTTATCAAGGTTTTTTACTGAAGCTTCGTGAAAGTCCAGAAATGACCTTGGAGCATAGTTCTTCCCTTTGCAGCAGATTTCCCCGGAATTAGCCATCCTGGGATCAATACCTGGAGCTCTAAGTAGGTCGCCAAAGGAGGGGAGCTTGAAGTATCAACAGACTCCTGCCTGAGGCAGGCAGGCCCCTTTTGGGGCGCCTTCCCCGCCTTCAGGTCTCCATTCTCGGGCCATACACGTAACATACCTACAGCAAGTCCTTGGCATGAAGATCCTAATGTCCTGGTGTTAGGGGGAAACAATGTCCTGAGCTAATTCCATGCAGGCTTTGTGGACTCCACTCCCACTCCAGACCACAGCCGTCAGGACATTGGGAAAGACAAATCCCGTCACCACCAAAGGGAAGGTGGCTGGGACCTGAGGGTGGACTTAAGCAGCCAGGTTGGGTATAAAAACCAGACACGTGGGCCTTGGGGTCTCTCACTCTCTTGCTCGCCTCCTGGCTTCACGGCTCCTGGCTTGCAGCCAGTTCTCGGAGCGCCATTTTGGGATTCCTGATCGGTGGATAGGGTAGGACGCATTTAAAACTTTGTCTCCCACTTTTCTCCCTGATTGTACATTTCCTCATTTGCCCTTCCCTTGTAAATAAACCTTTTATTAACCTTTCGTGTGTGCCTGCAGTAGAGCATTGATAAGTCCTTTAAGCGCGCGGGTGAGGACCCACAGCCAGGAACCCGTTTTGTATCGGGGCTGCCCTATAACACTGGTACTTTTGCTTTCATGAGCTAGATTTCTGAAAGTGAATTCTAGGCAGACTGTGCCTTTAAAACATTAACACCTGGGCCTCCCTGGTGGCGCAGTGGTTGAGCGCTGGGTTGCAAGGCTGCCCGCAGCCTCTGCAGTTCCAGTTCAATCCCCGGCCGCCGGCAAGGGTCCCACCAAAAAAAAAAAAAAAAAAAAGAACACCTATGGGGGCCTCCCTGGTGGTGCAGGGGGTTAAGTCTCAGCACTATCAAGCTATGTGCTGCAGCAAGAGTTTGATCCCAGGCCAGGGAGTGACCTACACTGTGTAGCAGACCTCTCCTGTCTCCCGGCTGCTGTCTCCTGGCTGCTCCCCTTCAACAGTGGATTTCAGTAGATCTGCCTGTTCTGCTCCCCACTCCATCTCAGGTGAATCCTCTCACCCGCCCCCACACCTCTGGCCTACACCCCAGATCTTGTATGCATAACTAAAATAAATACTTAAAAAAAAACTTTAAAAAAATTGAACACCTGGTGTTCAATTATTTTGCAAAAAGATACAGCTGAACCTACCTACTGGCCAGTTTACTTCCCAGCACTAGATATTTACCTTTTTGCAAATGTGTATTTTTTGGCATCCTTATCTACTGAGTCATTTCTGTTTTCTTATCAGTTTTTTTGCAATTCATAGAAATGATCCTCATCCATCTGTGATGTATTGCAACTTACCAATTTAACAAATGAGAACATTGAGGTCTGTGCAGTGTAAGTGATGCCCACAGATCTCACTTGTTGAATCTCTGCAGATTTAACACAAGGCCTGTCCGCCTCCCACCAGGGATCCTCCAGAAGGTGAGAAACAAGTTGTTGTTTGTAACAGTGTGGTCCCCAGGAAAAGGGGAGGTTCCAGGTCCCCCGCTCATGGCGGAGCTGACCAGGGAAGAAGAGAAGGTGGAGGGGAGACTGAGGGAGGAAGGAAGCAGGATGGCGAGACAGGAGACCTGGATGAGGCACGTGGAGAGAGAGACATGTGAAGAAGCTGCAGTTGCTTCTTGGTCCTGGAACGGTTGAAACAGGCATGGATGAGACCCGCGGGTGGGGCTAACAACGGCAGCTTTTATGTTGACTTTGCTCCTTTTGTCCTGTACATGCTGGGCCCCTTCTGCCCCTTCCTGTGGGCCCCCGCGGGGAGGTGCCTTAGGCTGTGGCAGGCTTTCGGGCCTCAGTGGCCCTAATTTGGGCCAACAGTGTTTGGCTGGACATTTGCCCATGAGTGGTAGGTAACTTCGGGGGCTTGATTTGGAAACTATTCTTTGTCCTTTTTTTGTTGCACACTAATTAAAGTTCTTTTCCATTAAAGGTCTTACACACTAGAGTATGTTTGCCTTGATGCAGCAGGCGGCAGAACATATTTAGAGCAGGCAGGTTTGGGGGTTCTGGGGTGCCCCTCTACTTGCCCTGTAACAGCTTAAGTTTACAGCAAACTATAAACCGGCTAAGAGAATGCCCTGGGGGGGGGTGAGGCACTTCTGTCCCTCACGGGGCACACCACCTCCCTGTCCCCCGACCTGTTCACCAACCCCAAGCCCTCCCAACTTCCCCCTTTACCATCTTGTGGTGGTTTCACAGGCGTGGCTGGTTAAATCGGTGACCACAGGGGTTAGCAGCAGCTCCAGCCCCTCCCCCTGCCAGGAGGTTGATGACTGGGGCTGAGGCTCTAAGGTTCTGATCAAGGCTTGGCCTTGTCAGCTGTCAATGAAAAACAGCCTGTAGCGGAGGGAGAGTCACGCTTGGGCGCAGCTGCTGCTTCAGTTGCTAGAGTCCTCGAAGAACAGCCTCTGACCTCAGCCGCTGGCCGTCGCCTGTGCTGTATGGCCAGTCGCCAGGCTGGGCTCCCAGACGCTCTGAGGGCCGCAAACCCTCCCGACGAGGCCGCCTGCCCCTGCGCCCCGCCGTGTGCACGTGGTGACTTACGAAGGCATTTGGGGAAATGAAAGAATCTCTGCAAAATGTTCACTCACCAACCTTCTGATGGTGTCTAGGGGCGTTTCATCTCGGGTGGAGTCAAACTGCGGAGCCTTCCAGGCCCTTTGCCACCCAGGCAGGTTCTGGCCGCCTGGCTTTGGCCTGGGAATGTCTGATTTAATCTTTGACGTCAATGACTTCCGTTTAACTGTCTAGAAGGAACCAGCTGCTCGGCCAAAGCATAAATAAAAAGGCGCCTTCTCAAAAACACAAACGGCTAAATTGCCAGCAAAGTGAGTTCGCCCCAATGCCCAGAAGAACCGCCCCACGCGCGCTCCAAAGCGAGAGGAGCTGCTTATATAGGCAGCAGGGGGGCGGGGCTGTTCTGACCGAGCTCATTGGAGGAGAGCAGGCGGTGCCGGCGTCTCATTGGCTGGACTGCGGTGCTTCTCATTGGTGGAGCTGTTGCTAGGCGGGGCAACGCTTCCTCCAGTTGAAGTGCAAGGGGCGCGGCTTCCTCTTGGGACTGGCCTGTGGGCGGGAACATGCAAATGGGCAGGTGGTGCCGCGAGCGCCCTCTAGGGGTCGCCCCGCGGCGAGGCCCCTGAGGTTTCCCTATTTAATTTCCAGCCTCCCTGGGGCCTCCCCGCGCGCCCTCACCTAGGACCCCGCACCCCGGGGCAGGGACACCCCGCCTCGCTAGGACAGAAGGCGCCCTTCTCACTCCAGAGACCGCGAGGCCAGGAACCAGGGGAAAGAGCAGCTGCGGCTTACACAGAGGCAAAGCTGCATTTTTATGGGGACTCCCTGGAGTTTCAGAGTAGGCTGTGCCCTGTGCGGGCGGGGTGAGAAAGGATGCTTGGGGTGAAAAAAGGATGCTTGGGGTGAGAGAAAGGATGCTCGCGTCTGTGAGGGCCTGGAGTGCGCACACCTGATCTGCAGGCCCAGCTGGGGCAGTCCCCTATTTATTTAGAGCCGGGTTCAGAGAAGGTGAGGGGTGCTGTCCTCATCGGCTTGTCAGCTAGGGCGGTGGCAGGGCTGTTGCCTGGGGGGCTCCGCTGTTCCCCCACTCGAAGCACATGAGCTCATCCTGACATCTGCCCGCTGTTTGCAGCAGACACCGGCTTCCCGTGTGTCCCTGGCCCCAGGACTCGCCCCCCAGTGAGAGGCGCCTGCCTGGCCCAACACCTGGCTGGTGGGCAGGAGCTCTGGGCACCGAGACAGTAGCCCTGAGGACAGGGAGGGCTGGGGTCCCAGAGGCAGTGTTATAGGGCAGCCCCGATACTGAACGGGTTCCTGGCTGTGGGTCCTCACCCGCGCGCTTAAAAGGGACTTACTGTTATAGGACAGGGAGAGGGGCAGCCCAAACCCCGCAAACCTGCCTATTCTAAATGGGTTCTGCCATCCGCCGCATCAACACAAAACATAGGAGACTTTAATGGGAAGGAACTTTAATACAACTAGGAAACAATACAGGAAAGGCAAATAATCTAGTTTCTAAATGAAGCACCCAAAGTTACCGTCCCCTCCTCGTGGGTAAAAGTCCATCCAAATGGGATTGGCCCAGAGCAAGGCCCCAAGGCCTGCCACGAGTCTAAAGCATCTTCCAGTGGGGACCCACAGAAAAGGGTCACAAACAAGCAGACAAGCCCGGAAGGAAAAGAGCAAAATCAACATCAAGATAAAAGCGGCCATTGTCACCTCCCCACGGGTCTCACCCACATCTGTGTCACCCAGTCCACGACCAAAAGCCAAGCGCAGTTTCTTCACGTGTCTCTAGGCTCCACGCGCCTCCTCCAGGTCT